TCTGGAAGGGATCTCGCAAGCTTAACATCCTCGAGGGAGGCCACCAACCAGATGGGCTGACGTGTTAGTTGCACGGACGTAGCTTAATTCTCAGCTGGTAACGAGTAATGACTCTGGACCTCGCGAAAGTCGCCGCCAGTATAGTAAAGTATCTAAGTAGCAAATATGTTATTAAAACTGTTTTATAAAAAGGTTTGAGACAAAATCCAATAATCTTTAAGAGATAATTAATAAATCCTCAATAAACACTTGGATGTGAATCAAAAGACTTAGTACCAGTGCATGTGGAAATGAAATCTGAATATAACAAGCCTTGCTCACTGACAAATTTTCCATGCGACAAAAATTAGGTTGCAGCAAACAAGTGACTCGCCTCCGCTTTGCGATATTTTAACCAGCGATTGCACTGCAGCTTAGCGCATTTGTTGTTGAGAATTATGCTCCACCGTCAACGTCTGCATAACACAGATATTATCTCCAGACAGAACTAGTATCGAAAATACGGAAAAAAAAAGTAACAAAGTGTTTAATAGGAAATTGTTTAATCCGTCCTCTAGAAGCGCGACTATATCACGAATATAACACGCTGTCACGAGTAAAAACCAGCATTTGTACAATTATGAATAGGGAGCGATGATACAAATGAGCACACATCAACACTAGAAAGGAAGTACCGGCAAAATTGTATTAAAGTACCACTAGTATTATGAGGTCGTTGATAAAGCATTGGGTGTATTACAACAATATATGTGCAGAGGAGTTGAAGAGACAGAGAGCACAATGCTTCAGTCAACTCCACTTCGACATAATACATAGCATCTATGAGCAATGTACAACAAAACAAAAGAATAGAGATAGTGAGATAGCTAGTAGAGATCATAAAACATAGAAAATTCTAAAACGAAGCAAAATTTAGGGAAAAAACTCCAATATCCAACTCTGCAAATTGAATGGGAGAACAATATTATTATGCTTTATCAAGCAGTGGCACATGAATTTAACTAGCAAGTATAAATGTAACAACTACTTTAAATACAAACTGCTCGACTTTGCTAACAATCTATTTGCTAATTATGTCGCAAGCCCTAGCTGTAGCCATGAAACGATAATCCCGGGCTCCTTTACCGTTTGCAGCCGACTTTTCCCGCATGGCTGCCTGCTCTTTTCTCCATTTTGTACAGATCGTTCGCATCTCTTCATGCGAAATAAACGCAGGAGTGTCAAATTTCTAAACGAAGCACATCTGTCAAGAGAACAAATGGCCGATATATTCCCAACTTACGGTTATAAGGTACATCCTCCACATAGCCCATTTCAATGGCTCAATCTTGCTATGTTTTTCCAGCACTCTCATCTCTTGGTAAATGAGATCAACAACGAGCACCGCCGCCATATCTGCCCATGCTGGTGCTCTTCCAACTATATCGAGTTCCCACCAGGACTTGTTCTTGAAAAGAACTTTGCGTTTGTATTATTACTAATTAATCACTTTTCACTGAACCAAAATAATGGTTGATGTTTTTGATATTGACAAAAAGTTGATGAGCCACTATGATAAGTGTCTATACCGTTACCGGAATTCAGTATGAACGCTGGTGGGATACGTTTTATATGCCAAATTCTGCTTTCTGACAGAGATTTTTTTCAACTTGTGGAAATTGCACAGAATAATCGACAAGAGAAGGATTCTTAATAGCAGTGTCAAAGCAGTGCTTTCTAGTAGTGTTATCCTTTGAAATTCGTTGACATAGGATATTCTTAATAACAGCGAACACAAACGCTATAGCTAGTCATGTCGGACACAAAAGTAAGATAATGACAGACAGTTCCAGCTTACCACGATAAAATGCAAACAAAATCCGCTTTTCTTCTGTCCTTACCAATAAGGGAAGAACCAGGTTTGTTTTACAACATAAACTCAATGGAGAATCATTTCAGGCCGGATATATCCATCTTATCTACATCCATCTTATAAATATCCATCTTCTTTGAAAATGTGGGTTTCACATGATGATCCCAAAAGGCCTGAGTTGGAGTTAACAAATTGTCAAGTTACCTTATTAGCATTAAACGATGAAGATGGCTTGTAGGTGAGTGTCGGTCCATCCTTGAAAAACCTGTAAACGAGTTTTTGGAAACTTTTTACCATAAGAGACTATTGAGAACAAAGTAAATTCTACTTTTAGGATTTGCTAAAAATTTTGAACATTGAGTGATTATTTTAGACCGTTGTTTGCAAATAAAATAACCTCACTTGTGTGCACGCTGAGGGTTCGTGAAACGATCGTAAAGGAGTGAACCAACTGAGGTAGTTATACTTGATTCTCCAGGAACAGCGGCTGATACCTTAATTTAAACGCTTATGAGGACGAGACAAAACTATGCTTCACTGCAAACTCACTCGTCTATGAAAAATATGACAGGTTGCTCCAATCGCAATAACACCCAACAGGAGACCGAACAGCGATGTCCAAAACTACAAATGTAAAAAGA